CCTGTGGAGATTGGATTTGGCACACAATGAAGCTTTTATGTAAAATAAGAATTATAAGCCACCACATTAATATTGTATTATGGCCATGACAATTCCTGGGCTGAGAGACTTTGAGGCAAGCTTGAAGCTGTTGAACGAAACAAACGTTTTATTCTTTTATCAATAGAGCTGGATCTTTTTATTAGGGATGAGCTAAAACCAGGGGGTAGGGATTGAGGGATTCACAAATTTATTCACTCATAAAATGCACCCCCTTTCACCAAGCTTTTGGGTCTCTCTCTCTGCAGGTGGTAGGTACACTGTAGAGAAAAGGTGGTCCTTCACACACATTCAGGTGACTACTGGCCCCTGTTCCTGTCATTCTGGTAGTGGTGGTGATACAATTCCATTGAAAATGTGTTTGAAGTCCCTGTTGGCTGCAGCTTTGACACCATTTTTGTGCACGTTCAGTATAGCCCCCTTCTTACAAGCAGTAGATAGTTTCACATAACCAATCAGATTTAGCTGTGTGATTACTCCACTGAGGGTTGAGCTAATACCGAGTGAGAGCAGAGCCTTTCCTCTGAACTGGGTTTGTTGTTAGCTGAAACCTATTGACTATACAGGTGTTAATTTGGAAGAAAATAGGCTGCAAAGCAGGTACAACAGTTTCTGGTGATGGGAATACAAGCAGCAGTGAAGTGAGATGTAAAAAGGTGAGCTTCATTGGGTCTTTTGGGCCTGTGAAAGTGTCTTTACAAAAAAGGCTTTCTGGAGAATATTGCTGGAGAATCATTTTAGCAAGCAGCATAGTTTTTTTAAAATTTTGATGAAGACAGCTTTTTCAGGTCTTCTTTTTGTTTGTGTTCCATAGTAACCTTCACTTGGAGGTTACTTCATTGATTGCTGTACAGTACTCCAGTCTTTGATTGAGTTCATTTACCCCATGGTTTATGTATCAGCATAATATCTGTTGCTAGTAATACCATCCTTATTGCTAATAACACGCATTGATTTTTTAAGGCATAGTTCTACATATTTTGAGATCACACCTTTTAATGTCAGAATAGTATTGGTAGAGATTTTCACAATTTGAGACTTTCAGGTTTTCCTCTTAAACAGAAACATTCTTCAGGTCCTTAAGCTTTTAAAGATAAGTTTGGAAGTGTGTAACCAATGCTTGGTGAAATCTCAGTAGCAAGTTTTCCAGTGATTTGAGATGTGGGCTTCTGTTTGCTACATAGATAATCCCTCCAATGAGCAAACTCAGAATAAATTTAGCAGAAGAAGCTAAAATCTTTTCCAAATTTGATCAAATTTTTAAATATTTAATCTGGTTTGAGTCTTGTAGCAGAATCTGAATTATCGTTTGGTACAGTGATTTGATCCCCCCCCCCCCGGCACAGTCCCCCTACTGACATCTCCCTATCAGCACACTCTCTCTACTTATTTCCAAAGACTGACTACAAAAGAAGAAAAATGGCACCTTTTAGAAAGGTTTTTTAAATTGGTATTTAATATTTGGGAAGGAGCGGGGGAATCCTAGCAAAAAAAGACTGCAGTTAAAATGTATAAGGAAGAGTGTGAGATCCCTTTTGGTTGCTGCAATTATGTTTAGAATCTGATATGATTAGATAGTCTCCAAACTGCAAGTGAGGGGACTGGACCTCTATTTTTGATAATAGTTTTTGGCTACGACTCCCATTAAATATATATTGCATTGAGCAGCATTGTTAAATTACAGTGGTACCTCTGGTTACCTACTTAATTCGTTCTGGAGGTCCGTTCTTAACCTGAAACTGTTCTTAACCTGAAGCACCACTTTAGCTAATGGGGCCTCCCGCTGCTGTTCTCACCCTGAAGCAAAGTTCTTAACCTGAGGTACTATTCCTGAGTTAGCGGAGTCTGTAACCTGAAGCGTATGTAACCCGAGGTACCACTGTACTTGTTTTTAAACAAAAGGTTAGCCTCTGTGTAGTAACAAAATGTTTTGCACTCCTTAAACCAGCATTAAACCTGATGCTTGTGGTAACCTAAGCAAGGATTTTAATAGCCATTCTCGTCAGAGCTCAAACACATGATCAGCAGTTATTCATTATGTATTAGTTGCTGGGCTATACCACTTCACTCTGCAGTGACTGCTGCCAATAGGAAGGAAGGCCCACATATGAAAATCTAGCAACTGGAGAACAGAGTCCAGACTATCATTATCCTGCTAGTATTAAGTATTTGTGTGTGAGGTGGTTCTCTCTCCCCACCCCCTTTCTCCCAGTAAAGGTCAGTTGTAAAGCTTCACTGGAGCTTGTGCTGAAAAGTGACTAGGTAAATTCAGCACATTCTTTCTCAGCAGGACCTGCTTCCTGTGTATCCCGAATCCTATCTAGTGACCTCAGTAACGAGAATAAGCCTTGGCTGCTATTGTTGGAGGGAGTGAGCTGTACCCTATTCCTGCTTGTGCATCGTGAACAGGATTGTTTACGGAGTCTCAGTTTCACGGGCAATCTAGTGACTTATGCAAAGAGGTTGCTTGTACGTCATGGGGACACATGTTCTCCAACCGACTATCTTTTATAACTTGTGCTGATGGACAAGGAGGAAATTGCTCTGCTAGGCTAACAGAACTCAAGTCATGGCTGTCTTTTGAAGAGAGCAGCATGCAGATACAACACTCTGGGTGTGATCATTGTTATAAGTGATGCTGACCTATTGACAATACAAATATTTGGAGAATCCACTTGTCTCGTTTCTCTGTTCTAATCTGTTTTCATTTTATTTTGCCACATTGCCATGCCCACCCCTTCTTTCGTGGGCAGTTTTTTAGCCTAACACCAACACAGGGGGTTTGGTTGGGGTTGGGGGCTTCTTCAAGACTATCTCTTGTGCTTTGCAGATGAGAGCCCCTTCACCCATTACAATTTTAGGGATATATTTGTGATGTTTCAAATGAAAAATATCAGGTTCGAATGCAGCAGAGAGTTTGTGTATATATGTGTGTATCAGATGTAGGATTGTCACCACCATTCATATTCTTGATGCAGAACTTTAGCTGATTCTGGCACGCTGTAGCTCTGTGATGGATGGGCGTTGGCATCTGCATAATGCATGGAATGGTCCAGAGGAGGGATTTTAAAGTGGGTTTCGAAAATTGAAACATACACTTTGAAAATAGCCTATCATTGCATGAAGGAGTGGAGAAGGACACACTTTACCAGGGCCTGGGTTCCTGGCCCAGGTTGCAATTTTATTACCATGACAGGGCAGCCGGAGGGAATGAGTCAAAGTTGCAGATCTTGCTTGAGGATGTTTATGGAAACCTGTTTCCTGTATTTGGATACATTGGGCAGGATTCACCTAACATAACCCCATCAGCAGAAGACCTGCACAAGAACTTTTGCTTGCCCAATGGGGCTTTCCTCCCTGTATAACCCTCCCCGAAACTGGCTCCTGGAGGGAAAGTCCCACATAAATGACAGGGTGATAATGGTTCCTGGCTAGCTGAGATGCTTGCACAGATGTAATGACTGGAAGAGCACAATGTTGAATTTATTATTATTTACTAAATTTATTTACTGCCCTTCATCCAAAAATCCCCAGGCATATACAATATAGAAACGTATTATGTATAAAACAACAACAACAACACAAGCAATACCCCCACATCTAAAAGGATAAAGAATGTTTAATACCCAAAGGCCTGGTTGAAGAGGAATGTTTTTGCCTGGCACCTAAAGATATGTAATGAGGGCATCAGGAAAGCCCCCCTATTGTCCAGATCTTGTGAGATTTGCTGGTCTCAGTCAGAAACAGGATCAGAAAAAGCAATGTTCTGAACAGTGAGTTACTGATCTGTGCCCTTCTTTGGAACAGAGGAAGTGTGCTTAGAAAGTTAAACCATGACTTGTAGTTTGAGAAATAGTTGTACTTGCTTGTGTGGCATGCTCAAGGAAGTACCAGCCCCAAGTTTCTTCAGGTAGGAGGGAAAGCTGGTGTGAGGAACATAAAAACCACAATAATTGATACCAGAAAGAGTGGGAAGCCAAAATTTATGTAAGTAAATATCTAGTACACCCACCTGCCAAATATGACTATGTGATTCATTCTTTGATATGAAATCATTCATTACTTTGATATGAAAAGGCTATATAAATATAGAGGTTTAAAGTGAATTAGTCTATTTATAAAATGTTTCTAGCTATGGTAGTCCATTAGGCAAAAGCAACTTGTTGGGTTGAGCAGAGCCCACTATGCCAGGCCCCCGGCGGGCGGGCGGCTTACTGTGAGGGAGAGGGGAAAGGCAGTGGGGCGGGCAGCGTGGTGCAGACACACTGGTGGAGCCAATCTGGTGCTACTGTTGGTTTGTTTGCACCCTGCCTCCTTCTCCACCCCCCTCTCAGTGGTGTAATTTCAGAAATGTAGAAAATGTAATTTCAGAATTAACATAAAAAGCTTTGTTTCATAACTCATGAGATTGTATGTCTGGAATGGGATTGCACTATGTGTATGGGAAGGAACCCATGTTATGTATTTGCCTGCCCCTGCAAAAAAATAAATTGTTTAACTTTTAGAAGGCATATTTTCCAGCAGTAGCTTTTCTGCCATTCCCTGCTTGGTTTATCAGCTTTAATGCCAGATTTTTCAACGTTAATGTGCAGTTTTAAAGTTACTTTCACAGATATTTCTGTTCCTGCAATTGTGGTAATGATGAGTTGCCCTGTTTATTCCTTCCATCCTCTGCACAATTTTCCTTTCCAGATTTACCATAGCGATTGGCATATGAAACAGAACATTGTGTTTGCCCTTTTAATAAACACCTTGGAAATGTCTGTACACTCCATTTTTGTTCAACACAACCCCAATAAAGTATTTCTGTGGGGCTTTTACTTTATTTTTGTTGCATGCATTTTAGTTTCACTTACTTCCCCACGTTGCCTAATATGTGTTTGCTTTCATTTTATTTTTAAAGTTGCCTTTCTTTTCTGAACTCATTTTTCTTTTTCCCCATTTTTGTTTCCTCCATCCAGTACCTGCAGATGAAATGGCCACTGCTTGATGTTCAGGCAGGGAGCCTACAGAGTAGGCAAGCCCTCAAGGATGCTAGGTCTCCATCTCCAGCACACATTGTTGTAAGTAAACGAAGATGCACTACTTTTGTTTCTGTGTCTCTGTTTCTTTGGTGGAGGGGAAAGAGGAACGGGTTTAATGAGTATTGCTTGTCACTTTTTGCCTTCTCCAGTTAAACACATTATGAAATAGTGGGAATAAAGTCTCAGTTCTTGCTCTTTGAAATATCCATCAAGTTAAATTCCATTTTTTCTTTGTACTACTTATAAAAGTGTATTAAGTTATATTATTAAGGAACAAGTGCTTTTTTTGGTATAAAGTGAGAGGGGCCAGTACAGTGGTACCTTGGTTTACAACCATAATCCTTTCCAGAGGTCCATTTGCAAACCTAAACAGGTTGTAATGGGGCCTCCAATTTTTTTTTGTTCGTAATCCAAAAAAAAGGGGGGGAAGGGTTGCAATCCAAAAAAAGGTTACAAACTTGGACATGCACTTCCGGGTTTGACGTGTTTGTAATCCAAAACGTATGCAAACCAATATGTGTGCAAACCAAGGTCCACTGTAACTTATCAGTGATAAAAGAGCCATGGGTGCCAGCACAAAATGGCCACCATGGGCAGCAAAAAAGAGAGATGGTGATACTCAGTACTGGTGAGTACTGTCACAAAAAAAAACCACTGGTTATAACTGTTGATCTTCAAACTGGGGTTATGATGATTGTTTGAAACACAGTTTTACTGAAGAAAAGGGACATTTCATAAGCAAGCTTCTTATTTGTGTGTTTCTTTTTTATTAATTCAGATTCAGAACACAAGGAATTTGGGCTGCAAAGAATGTTAATTTTCTTTTTTTAATGAGCTCTGCTTTTCCTAGCATGAGAAATTGATATGCAGCCACACTGTATCTGAATGGAAAATTAATTTCAGTCTGAAAATAATTAAGGATGGTTTCTATTTTTGTAGGCAGAGGTGTGTGTATGTATGTGCGTGCACATGGAGGTGACAGAATGACATTTTAAAAATTCTGGATCAGTTTTATAAACCTATTGTGGTAGTATTTAAGGAAAGTTCTTCCTTGACCAAAGTGTGCTTAAGATAGCTACCAAAGTTACAACATGAAGCCTACTTGTAGGAATAGTTTCTTTAAATACTTCAAAAAACTTCATGAAACAGCTTGTTCACACTGCAACTATAACTCCCACATTCTTATCACACTATTCATAAAATAAAAATGGAAGATAAACCCACTTCAAGGAAACAAAGGTTTAGGTGAATCAAAGTAGACCATATATATATATATATATATATATTATTGGACACCTGTTAACCTTTTAAAGTGGCTTGTTCATTTACAAAGTCCTTAATTTCACCTCACACAGCTAATTTTCCACCTTTTAATTACAATTCATACATTTACAATGATTCCCATGATAAAAATGTAAGGTATAAATGGGAGTTAAACACTTACAGCTAAATTATGATTTATTATAACATCTATAATGGTATATAATAGTGTGTGTAGGTTTTGTTTTTTGTTTTGGTACCAGCAGTTGTTGCTTATTGATAATATTGGGTGGCATCAGTAATACTTGCTATTTTACCTTGTAAGACTCTATATGCGGCTCTTCAATGAAAATGTCATTACCATTTTTGTTCCCTAATGAGTGCACTGAATGTGGCATATTCAAATAAGTAACCTCCCCCATTTCTAGAATACCTATAACCTTTCAGTGAGCTGGTATTCTGCCATTCCCTTAAACACATTTGTTAAATGGACTTTGTGGGGTGGGGGGAGAACCTCTAACAGTAGCAATTCACTTCACACTTGTATCAATTAAATCAGAACTGGAGCTACATCTGATAGATGGTTTGAGAATCGAGGGACTGCAAACATTATCTGAAATATCTCCTGTTTAAGAAAAATTAAAATTACTGCTTGCCTGTGCTGAAATAATGGGGAAAAGGGGGGGGCACAAAACACCCTGACTTTATATACCTCTTAAATTAAATTTTTATTCTCTGTAATGAGTCATGTTTGTTCAGAAGCAGCAAGTTTTGAACTTCATTGAACATGGCTGGCTTTCGCATTGGTTTCAGTAGTTCAACTAAGTCTGAATTCAACCTAGTAAGATTAAGCTGCAACCCTCAGCCTCTTCTTTTTAGGAAGTAAGGCTTCAATCCTAATTCTATTCACCAGAGACTAAGCTCCATTGAGTTCAATAAATCTGAATTCTGAGCAGATATGGGCAGGATTGTGCAGTATATCCAACTGAATTTAGTTGGATTCTACTCTTGTGTGAGCAAGAGGCATATTAGACCATTTGTAGTGTGTTTTCTCCCCCTCCCTTTTTAAAGTGCTCTAGTTTTCCTTATGAGAATATATTCTTGCTCAAAGTGCTTGGGCAAGATCACAGGATTAGAGTGCTAAGACCATTCCCAAGACATACTTCTGTATTTTTGCTATACAAAGACTTACATTTAAGTTCCTTTGTACCTGGCAAAAAAATCATGCCATGCCAAAAATAGTGGTATTTTGGTAACACACACAGCTTATAAAACGGAAACTCTTCAGAAATTCATCTGATTCCCTCCCTCCCTCCCGGAGGCAAGACTTTTGAAGTCAATGTAAATTTTACCTTGAGGTGAGTTTATAGTGAGCAACTGTCCTGACTTTTCATTGTGTAATGAGCACATTCATAAACTAGGTTGGAACCTCGGGAAAAAAGTACTATGGTGCTATAGAAGATCTATAATTACGCGTATGTTTTTGCTCAAGGAGAGGGAAATCTTGCTCTGAAAATGCAAGAGGGCAGGAGTAACTTAGGACAAAAGTTTCTGAAATCTCTCTGTTCTCAATATATTAACCTATCGATTTTCACCATAGGAATCTTTGCACAGTATTCAAAGTCATGAGCTGAATTTGGACCACAAGGCAATTTTATCTGAACGTTCACTGTTTTGACCAGGATAGTGATAGAAAGTTTGGCCACAGCTGCAATAGTTGCAAGAGGATGGAGTTACTACGTTGAAATGTTTTATTTCCCTTGGGTTTTGCATTCAGTTCCTGGATGAACCAACTGTGTGTGTTCCATATTGGCCAAACCTTTTTAGTTAGAAGTACAACAATTTATCAGCTCCTAGTAAGATGTTGATTATGCAGCAAGGTACACATATAGCACATTTTGAGACAGTTCGTCTCCCCTGACTATAGAAGCACGGCTCTTCCAAGTCCTAAGAATTGAATGATATAAGCAGTGAAGATGAAAATGTGTAGAGTCATTCTCAAATTTGAGGGAAGGTATGGACTAAATAAACTTTTGCTCTTTGGGGGAAAGGTGACTCTGAGAAAAATCACATGACATTTATTTATTTTTGCAGCGTATTTATTTCAAAACCATTTGTGCATCACCCTTTATGTGGTTCTCAACAGTTTTAAACAATATTTAATACACAGTAGGAAACTTGCATAAAAATAAAACACAGAAGGAACAGTAAAAACTGTTTGAAGGACTAAGAATAAAATAAAATAAAAGATGGTATGGTGGAAGACATAGGCGAGTAAAAGGATATTTGCCAGCTGTCAAAAGAATTGATTGATTATTTAATTTCTACACCACTTACTATATTAAAAAATATCTCTTAGTGGTATATAGAAGACCGAAGCAACAACAGAAAACTTAAAATATTACAAAAGTACAGTTACATAAAAAAAGTTACATTAATGCAAAGTTACACATACACACACACACCCTTCTGACATACCCTCCCTCTCACCCAGGGTCCAAACAACCCCCCACCAAAGTTTCACAATGAGAAGAGTTCCTAGTCTCTCACTCTAGACTTGCTTTTTATGGTCAGGCCGAAGCGGATGGTACCTCCTCAGGCTGCCCTAGCTGTGTCTTGTTCAGCTTCACTCTCCACACCCAGCTCCAGGCTCTGCAAATTTAAGGAGCTTCCAAGTGGGTCCAGAGAATCGGACAAGGGCTCCACGTCACTCACAGATTTTTCTTCACCCCTCCTCCTTTTCAGCAGCCCCAGCTTTTGTAACTGTAGTCAGTCAGTGCCCCATGGAAAAGGGCCTGCGAGGCAGAGAGCAGGTCTTCCAGGGCTCACAGCCAAGATGGGAGATTAGGTTCAAGTTTAAGTGAGCTTCCTTGTGGAGAGCGTTCCACATGTTGGAGCACACAAAAGCCCACAGTCCAATTGTCACCAGCCTAACCTCAGAAAGTTGAGGGCCTCTAGAGATGTGTGTAGCATCCAGGCTAAAAAAACTGGATAAGTCTTCAAAGGCAGCTCCCATGCAAAGCACTGAACTAGGCAGCCCTGAGGTGAATAACATTGGATAGGTTACCCTAGGGCAGGAGTGGTTATGGCTGGTGCACCAGCAGGTACAAAGCTCTAGACTTGCCCGATACAATCCTGTCCACAGCAGGCTGATTTTCTGGATTGGGAGAACAGTTGCTCAACTGTATCTTTGCTTATAAACATAGAGCCTCATTACTGTTTTCCAATACTGATCCAGCACTTCCACTGCAGCTGAATTTTGGGAAAATAGACCCCGAGGGGGGTTGGTGCTACTAGCAGGTTCTTTTGCCATAGGAGAGAGGTGTGGGGACTAGGTTTAGATGTGTAACCATAATTTCCATGTGTCTTCTGCTGGTGCCAAAGTGTGCCAGCACTGAATTAGAACGGCACCTATGAAACAAAAAGAGTTTCAGGATTGCTGCTGATCTTGTCAGCAGCCGTTATCACAAGACTTGTGGATGGGGTGGGGGCTGAAATGATCCCCCACAAAACTCTCCTCTGACTTTCTACCCTGGCCAAGGGGTCACTCACCCCTCCTGGTAGTTTAACACCACTGTCAAATCTGACAGTGCTCATCATGTGTTGGATGACTTAAGAGCCCATAGAAATGCCAGCATGTAGATAGATAACTGACTGCTGCACTTGTGCTTCTTTTGACTGGGACTAGTATAGGAGATGTACCCAAATTTATACTACTAATATGGATATACAGACCATCGCAGATATCCTGCTGCCTGACTAAGTTCTTTGTGCATATC